ATTAAGTATTCTGTTAGAATTTAATGATTATACTAATTATATTTTAGATTGTTTATATTTAAAATGAGATGTTTATCTTGTATTTGATTGTGTTTATCTGCAGTTAGTTACACGAATTCAGATATGGGATGAATTTATTTAGGGATGAACGGGTTTAAGAGTTTTTAAAAATTTTAAAAGTTTTAACCAAATGTTTTATAAAATAGTATAGATAGAAATTTCCATCTACTCCCCTCCTTTCACAATCAATTCAACTTGGTCAAAATTTATCATTTTTAAAATATAATATACATTTTCAATGTATATTAATTAGTTATACCATATATTTTTTTTTAAATAAAATATCAAAAATTAAAACTCAAAAGAAATTACATTAAACTCGAGTAACTACTCTATTTCAGTAATTCTGTCGTGAACTATATTATTAAAATATTCAATACATTTAATAAAATATCTTACTTCTTTTTCCTAAATACTAAATTTCAATGTCTTCTATTGATGATAATTCTTTTTGTTGTTATTTCTCTCTTAAATATGAAGTCTTTTGAAGATTTCTACACTTGCACTCTTCTTCTCTTTATTTTAGCATACGATATTTCTCTCTCAAATTAACACATCTCTAGTAGATTTTTTTATAATTTCTCTAAACTTAGAAACCAAAACTTAAAATCTCTAAAAAGAAATTATATTCAACTACGAGTTGCAAGATCTCGAGTTGATAGACTAACTTCAGATGACGAATTTGAAGACTTTGTTTGAATTTGAGTTAACACTACTAAAAATGACAAAAAATAAAGAAAGCAAGGGTATAAGACTTTCAGTGAGACGTAAACACAATTTCTAGCAGACTAATGCTGCCAAAATGCTATAACATGCAATTTGTAACAACTAGAATTAACCAATTTAGAAAATATAGATAATAAATCTCTTTATCAGCAACTCACTCAAGTCTACTTTCCATATCATCCAAATTGTCATGGAATCAATGGCTCAACTTATAGTCCACGACACTTTACAATGATCAACTCGTCAAGAAGTGTCATGTGTTTTATAAAACTTAAAATGAAATAATGAAACATTGTTGTTACATACAAGGATCTACTTTCTTTCGGTTTACAATCTCACACTTTCCGTCTCACACCCAAACTAATAAATTTAGCTACTCATGACGAAAAGATTAATATTGCAAGAAATGTAAATTGCAGTAACTAAAGACATGAAAATAAATGACTAAAAGTAAATGACGGAAATTAAAGAGCGGGATGTAAAGAGCGGAAAGCGTAATAGATTAAAATGATAAACATAAAATTGTAAAAAACTTGATGTAAAGAAGCAATGAAGAATGAAGAACAAGATTCAAGAAAATACGATAATCTATATATTAAATGAGAGCATATACATCAAATACTTTAAGCCGTTAATCACAATCAAATTAGATCTGATTGGAATTTTCTACACAAAAAACAATACCCATACATCTTATTTATACTAAGCTAGAAGGGGGCAAAGTAACTTTTAAGCAAACTTAGTCCCTTAGCTAAGCTAAAATCAACATTAAAATGCAAAAAACTAACTAAATAGATTAAATTAAAGCTAGAAGTCTATCAACTATTTTTGCTTTCAAATCTTGATCTCCAAACTACAAAAAGTATGATTCCAAAGCAGATTCGTGGCTAAATGTATTAATCATCCAAAAAGGCACCGAAACTAGCAGATCCAATGTTGTGGTAATGCTACAGCACAAACAGCTATTCATAAAGTTGGATTAGCCTTCAATTTGTATAAATAGGTAAATCACTACTTTAGCTTCATAATCTAAGAAAAAGACAAATAAGATAATTAAAGACTCGAATTTGGGATATTAAAGGAAGATAAGATTGCTAAAAGGGAAGAAATAAGTGTGATAACATTGGTGCGTACAATGCGTGTCATTCACACAACCATATCTAGATGTTCGCAGGGTCAGCTCTGGCCACGTGCAACCCGTGCGGTCGTACAAGACATCAAAGCATAAAGGGGCATCAAGTTGTCATTTATTATTAGTTTTGGGTTTAGTAATCTAGGAATTGGACACTTGTTCTTTGCAATGCACAGTAACATAGATTATGAATTTTATAATTTATTATTGTTCTTTTGACTTTTGTTTACTTTGAGGTTTGGTATTACCGTGTTAGATTTAGGGGCCGTTTGATTGGGTTTTTTTTATTAAGTTATATATGGACAATGTTGTCTATATGAATTAATTTGTTTTTATAAGTTGGAAAAGTTTTTGTTTGGAAGATTTTTTTCGCAGATGCGAGGAGCGTTTTTTGAGTTGGAAAAGACATGTTTGTAAAAAAAACTTGGCTTTCTATATAAAGCTCCCCTAGAAGCTTACCGGATAAGTTCTTTTCTATATCATTAAGCCACTACAAAATAATTGTGAATAGTTGAACGAATAAGCTGTTAGTTCCATTAGCTTATTAAACTGCTAACAAATAGGCATTTAGTCTTTAGTCGTTAGACTTGTAACTTTTGAGTTTTATTTTTTGCTTACTATAACAGTAATTTCGATGTAATTTACTATTTTAGTTAAAAACTAATTATAGTTTTCCTTGTCTTTTTAGTTCCATATATTGAAATAAAGTTTCTATTTTGCTAATTTCAATTTGGAAAAAGGAAAACGGGAAAAGAAGGAAGCATGATCTTAATCCGAGATTTATCCTTTTATTATTCTATATTTTGTATTCGGGGTTTTGGTTTTTATGTCCCCCCATTGTATTCTTTTTTTGTAATAATTAATAAAAATCAACATGGGGATGAGACACTTTGTTTGAATAGATTGTAAACTCTTTAAAAAATCGCATGCTTCGTTGTTTCATTGGCTTGAAAAAAATAGGCTTATGGGACATTTTTTATTATTTTCGCACAAGGTATCAAAATCTTAGGACTGGCCCTGGCTGTTCGGTATGGGCTTATTCAGTGAGACCAAGACCATGGTTGAATCGCTCAACTACAAAACATGCGTCTTTTGTATTCAACCATTAATTCTCCCAACTAGCCCTCTCCCTCAACACTTCCATCAACGCTCCTTACTCAAAACTTGTCTCACCATCCATCACAGCCTTTTGATTTCGTCCTCATGAATTTGCTTTTCGATGAAGAAAAATCACCATACATCTAAAACATCAAAGTAGATTTTGTTGTTGCCCGATGATTTCTCCATCTATGTGACGTCAATCTCGTTGACCCGTCTCCTTCTTTCTTTCTTGGTATTCTTCTCCTTAATCTCAACTTGAAAGAGTTATTTTCCAGTGTTACCATATCTATTTTTTGTTATCTTGGTTGAAATGGAAGATTTGCGGTTGAGAAAATTAGCATTGTGATCAAAACCCAGTTGATAAATTGAACCAAGAGTCATGTTATGACGGAGGAGGTTTTTGATTTCCCTTGATTTCTTTGTGTTTTCATCAGGTTCAAGAAAGTTGGTGATGATGGTGGTTTTTGCTTAAATGGAAAGGGGATTTGTTGTATAAAGTATATAAAAGAATAATGAAAGTAAAATATAGATCGAGGGTAAAATGGTTATTTATGATATTTAGACTGTTTATTTAGCACAACCACCAAACAACATCTTATCTGTTAACATACAAACAAATATATCCATACAGGTCTTAATAGAATACGAACCAAACAACCCTTAAAAATCATTAAATATTGAGAATCTTTCAAATTTCATTGCGAAGAAAAAAAAAGAAAAATATACTTCCTTTTCCTCAATGTGGTTGTTGATTATTTCTATTTTCATTCATTTGGTTTATGATTTTTATTCTTATAATTTACAATTTATTGTCATTTCTATTCGTGAATTAATCCTATCTTTAAAGTATAAGTAACGAAAATAGTAAAAGATTGTAGTAACAGAGAGTGAAACAATAATAGATTGTAAATCTAAGAATTAAAATAACAATGAATTACATGTCATACAAGTATATTTTTTTGATTAACCTGGATATCCAACCCGCTATGTGAGCCAATTAATTCCAGAACGACCACCTGCTTTGCAGATAACTCAAAGTTATCGCATTTGAACCTTCGTAGCCATAATGAGATTTACAAATAAATTTTGTAACAACCACAATATGAAAACCATAAAAAATGAATTAACAACCAAAAATAAATTTTGTAACAACCACAATATGAAAAACATAAAAAAAAATTAACAACCAAAAATAAAATTTGAATTTATTATATTTTACATAAAATTTATTTAAAAGTTCTTGATCTAATTAAGAAATATTAAAGTTTTTTAAAAAAAAAATTGAATAAAATTACCGGCGAAAATATCCGCCGGTAAATTTATCCNATATTAAAAAAAGTTAAAATAAAAAAAATAAAAAAACTGTTCAGACTAAATAGAATTTTTTATTAATTTTTTTTTAACTTCTACGTAATTATTTTGAAGAAGAAACCGTGGAAAACACATGGTTGGTTGCAGATGCTCGTATATAAATAATAGAGATGGATAGCGTTCCTATGTAACATTGAAACAAAAGATTCCAGCCATGGATGCATTAAAGAAACCTAGCGGACCAAACTCAAGCCCTCTAACTCCTCTTGGATTCCTGGAGAGGGCCGCCACCGTGTACGCTCAATCTCCGGCGATCGTCTACAACAATCTCACTTATACATGGCCACAACTCTTTCGTCGCTGTCTAAGACTAGCTTCATCCCTCTCCCATCTCCAAATCGGAAGAGGCGACGTCGTCTCTGTTCTTGCACCCAATATTCCGGCAACTTATGAGCTTCATTTTGCCGTCACCATGACCGGCGCTATACTCAACACCATTAATACCCGTTTGGATGCTCGTAATATCTCAATACTCCTCCAACACAGTGAATCCAAGCTTGTGTTTGTTGACTACCAACTAACTGGTCTTATCCGAGAAGCCGTCTCTCTGCTGCCGGACGGTTGTTCTCACCCACTACAAGTCCTGATCACCGACGATCAACCTCCAACTTCGTTTACTGATAATTTCATCAACACTTATGAAGGTATGGTTGAAACTGGTGATCCTGGCTTCAAATGGATTCGCCCGGAAAGCGATTGGGATCCGTTAACATTGAATTACACGTCCGGTACGACTTCGGCGCCAAAAGGCGTCGTCCACAGCCACCGTGGGACGTTTATTGTAGCCCTTGATACTCTCCTGGGGTGGGGGGTACCGAAACAACCAGTCTGCTTGTGGACCCTTCCAATGTTCCACGCAAACGGGTGGAGCTTGGTCTGGGGTATGGCGGCCGTTGGTGGCACAAATGTTTGTCTCCGGAAATTCGACGCGTCCACCATATACACCGCCATCCGCAACCACCATGTAACCCACATGTGTGGCGCTCCGGTTGTGCTCAACATGTTATCGTCGGAAGGTGAACCACTCAGCCATACAGTGCACATAATGACCGCCGGAGCGCCGCCTCCTGCCGCTGTGTTGTTACGAACCGAGTCTCTGGGGTTTGATGTGACCCACGGATACGGGTTGACGGAAACCGGTGGGCTAGTGGTGTCTTGTTCGTGGCAGAGACAATGGAATGGGTTGTCGCCAACGGAGAGAGCTCGACTGAAAGCGAGACAAGGAGTTAGAACCATGGGGATGACGGCGGTGGATGTCGTTGATCCCGAGTCGGGAGTGAGTGTTCCCCGGGACGGGTTGACTCAGGGAGAGATAGTCTTGAACGGTGGAAGTATAATGCTGGGTTACTTAAAGGATCCGGAATCCACTTCCAAATGTATGAAAAATGGGTGGTTTTACACCGGCGACGTGGGCGTGATGCACCCAGATGGGTATTTGGAAATCAAAGACAGATCAAAAGACGTAATCATAAGTGGTGGAGAGAATCTGAGCAGTGTGGAGGTGGAATCAGTGTTGTACTTGCATCCGGCGGTGAAAGAGGCGGCGGTGGTGGGACGTCCGGATGAGTTCTGGGGGGAGACGCCGTGTGCTTTCGTGAGTGTGAAGGAGAAGACGGTGGCGACGGCGGAGGAGATAATGGAGTTTTGTAAAGGTAAGCTACCGCGGTTCATGGTTCCGAAAACGGTGGTGTTTAAAGAGGAGCTTCCGAAGACATCTACTGGGAAAATTCAGAAGAACGTCCTTCGACAAATTGCTAAAACCATGGGATTTCCCGTCAAAAGTCGAATATGAATATATATATATATATATATATATATATATATATGTGTGTGTGTATATTTTTGTATTATTGAATTATTATGCATACCAAATTATGTTCACCCAGAAACTAATTAAAACAAATATATTATCTACTGGTTTTCCCTTGCTATGATAATGAAAGCCACATACCAACTCTTCAATTTTGAAAACATAATCAAACAAATTGCATTAATTAACAACGACTGTAATAAAATGTGTTAATGAAATTACAAGTTCTTACCTGTTTTCTTAATCCGTCCTCTACATGATGCTTGTTACGAATTATGTCATCGTTTTGGTTTTTTTTTTTTTTTTTTTTGTAAATTTAATAATAAAAGCAAAAACGTTAAATTGGCGTTCTTAAGATCATATCATGAATTCGCTATAATTTTTTTATAAATATAATCACAAAAATAAAATTCTTTATTTTGATACCGATTTTACTTTAACAATTCTAACATAAACTATATTAACTAAATATTTAATATTTTTAATAAAATACTACTTCTTTCTCCTATATTTAATTTCAGTACCTTCTATTAGTGAAAATAATTAAAATATAATTTCTTTATTTTTTATGTGGTTTTAAAATTTTGTCCAAATTTAGAAATTTATGCGTTAGCTCTCTCTATTTCTTTTAAATAACCATAAGGGTAGAAAAATTAAAGTTTTAAAAATAATTCAGTATTTATGATATTTAACAATATAAGATTAAATAAAAAAGATATTCAATATTGAGCTCATTTTGAACGTATTAACGATACGATTATAATAGTGTAATTTGTAAAAAAACAACGTATTTTTTATGTATTTAAATTTAAAAATGAAAAAGTAGAAGATGTAAGTTAAATTAAAGAATTAATTATAAAGATGTAAAATATAAAAAATAATTTATACAAAATACGATAGGTTATGAAAAAAAAATGAAATTCTGGTAAAGTTTTTTTTTAACTTTACTTTTTTTAGCCTAATTGAAATATGAAGTTTATGCAGAAAGAGTTTATATAGAAAATAAAAGTTCACGAAGAAAATAAACTTCTACACAAAAATTAACCATTTAAGAGATCCACTTGATAGACTATCCCCTCATATAATGGTTTTTCTAGCTGAGCCATTGATTGTACGTTAATTTAGATTATGTAAGAATTAGATTAGAGAGAGTTATTGATAAAAAAATTTGTTATCTATATTTTCTAAATTAGTTAATTCTCAACAGCTTGATCACTTTGAAGTGTTAAAGTGGAATGAACTCAGAGATGAGTCATTCGTAACACGTCAACTTGAATGACATGAGAATCCTCTTGAAAGAGCGATTTTTAGCAAATAGATTTGTTTATCCGTATTTTTTGAGAACACCATTTGTCACTTTAATTAGTCCACATACCATGTAGAGATATGAGTTGAAAGTTATAATATCAATGCAATGGTGAAGTCTAAGAGATCTACCCTCAAAATAAATGGTGAAAATAGTTGTTACTAAGTGCATGTTGTAGTATTTTAACAATATTGGTCTAATAGAATTTATGTTTACGTCTTACCAAAAGTCTTACACCCTTGCTTTCTTTATTTTCTGTCATTTTCAGTAGTGTTAACTCAAATTCAAACACCCTTGCTATCTTTATTTGTTAGTTTATTATATAAAGTTTTTCTCAGAAAATGCAGGGACAGTAAAACTATAAAATATTTTGATAATATAGTTAGTGTCAGAATTATCTAAAATAGAGAATTTGTCGTAGTTGAATATAATTTCTTTTTAGAAATTTTGACTTTTGGTTTTCTAATTTTTGAGAAATTATAGAAAATCTATTGGAGATGCTTTAAAAAACTCCAACATTTATGCTAAAATAGAGATTTAACCACAAGGATGGTGCCTGATTGGTTTGAGCTTGGCTTCAAAAATCAAAAGTACTAGGAGGTCTAAGGTTCAAATCCAAAGAGAAATAAAAATCCCCTTGTGACCACGGAGGTTCAAATGCGGTGACTCCAGGCCATCTACAAAGCAAGTGATCGTTCTGGGATTAGTCGGCTCGCATAGCGGGTTAGATATTCAGGTTAATAAAAAAAATTGGGTATATTTTTTGGTTCAACATATATGCTATATCGAATGCTGAAATAAAGAGAAGAAGAGTGCAAGTATAGAAATCTCCAAATTTTGAGAAATCTCAAAAGACTTCATATTTAAGAGAGAAATAACATCAAAAAAAATTATCATCAATAGAAGACATTGAAATTTAGTATTTAGGAAAAAGAAGTAAGATATTTTATTAAATGTATTAAATATTTTAATAATATAATTCACGACAGAATTGCTGAAATAGAGTAGTTACTCAAGTTTAATGTAATTTTTTTAGAGTTTTAACTTTTAATACTTTATTTTAAAAATTTTGTAGAATATTAAAATGTATATTATATTTTGCAAATGCTAAAATTTGACCAAGTTGAATTGATTGTGAAAGGAGGGGAGTAGATGGAAAATGTCTATTTTCTAAATATACATCTTTAATTATATACTAAATAAATTAATTTTTATTAAAAAGAACATAATTATTATCTAATTAATTAACAAATAGTAATAATTTTAAATTACATGTTTAATAAATGGAAAGAGAATCAAAATTACATAGGCATCATCAATAATTCAAATAAAGCATCTTTTTGGTCGACTATTATTCATTTTATTTTTGGGTTTTCTTGATTCATTTTAATTAACATGTAATTTGATAAAATAAAAAAAATTAGGGATGGACTTTTGGATGCTTCATTTTTCCCTCTTTCATTAAGTCATGTATGAAAAAATGATTGCAACTTATTTTATTCACCATATAAAAGTTTTAGATAACAATAAATTGGTCAAGATTTGGAGGCGATAATAGAACCAAGCACTAAGTTAAATCCGCTTTTTAAAATTTTCTACATGACGTGATACGAGTTGAATTCAATTATTTAAACACTCAATGCAACAACTACTACTTTGTTGATGACGATTGTGTATACTTTGATTTTCTCAATAAATGTTATTCAAGTACATCTCTTGATATTTTAAGGTAAAATATATAAATAATACTAGAATTGTAATTTTGTTTTGCGTATCCATGCATTTTCGGGACAACTTAAGCGCAACACTAGTTCCTCAGGCTACCACGAATGGTCTGGAGTTACCGGAGGTGAACCTCAATGGTCACAGGGGTTTTGGCAGCGCCTGAAATAAAATCTGAGTAGATGATATTATCTACTATATTTCCTTGAGATTAAAGAGCGCATCACATGTGGTTTAGAATTGTAATTTTATTTCTTCTTTAGAATATTGTATTTTCAGATTATATTTTTAATATGACATCAGTTTAAGAATTTTACACATTATAACTCTAAGGAGTTGTTCAGTTGTGGTACAATGGGTTGTATAGCTCATATACCTTATTCGTTTAACCATAAGTGGATGTTCGATTATGATTTAATTTGGAAATGAAGGACATATTCGAACAACTTGAGGAGGGTACTTGTTTACATTTAGTCCAAATTTTGTTCTTAAACACCCTTCTTTTAAGACACACTCCCATCCTCAATAACAAAAAGAAAACCCTTGAAGCTACCAACCTCCATCCCTTGAAGCTCTACTGTGCCTCCAGGACCTCCATTGCTCCATCGTAGCTCTCCTTGTTGTCGTCGATCTACTAGCTCCCGTCTTCCACTGCCGTCAGCTTCGTTCTTTGCCCCCGTCTTATTTTCCCTCTCTTTCTAATTAGATCCACCGCCCCTTGCAAACAAAACCCCTACTCACATCTCTTCCTTTCCCTCTCTTTCTCATGAGATCCATTGCCATAGTTGTAAAAATTGTTATCGAAGGTCATCTAATACAGGTATTTGGTTTGGGTTTTTACTAAAATTGGTAATGGGTTAGGTGATGAACAAAAGTGGAGGTGATGACTTTCATGGCAGGTGAGTACTAAAAATTAGATTTCTATTCATCGATGCTCGAACTTAATATATTATTTATAATCCTATCTGATAATTAAATTAATCATTAAGATATTTAAAAAAAGGCAGAAACAAACACTAAAGGTAAATTCCTCATTTATAGTCAGTTTATTCGGTATAAGTGAACAATAATTTTGTAACATCTCAGAATCATATTTGTATATAACCAAGTATTTCATATAACAAGAAATATAAATTTACACATTCGGTCCTAATTGTACAAAAAACTATATTACAAAAGTAGCTACCAAATTTTTCACAACATCCTTGTATATAACTTGTATACATAAAAAATATTCAAAAAAATAACAGATAAGCATGCTCTCCTCCACATATCATGTAAGCATATATGTCATCTCACAATTTCCCCTTTCCTTTACCCTTTGATTGTGCCTGACCTGAATGCACATTAAATGATGGTTAGACCTTGAGGTACAGTGAGAAATCTATTTGATGCAATTACATGGTGAAAATCACCAAATCAAGTTTATAAATCTATATTTGTAATACTAACTGTTAGGACCAAAATTGTCCTAATTATCATGAAAGTTTTATTAAAGCAATTTAGGCTAAGTATGGAAGTCTGCAAACTTATCTTCAGATATCTAAAATGTGCTTACAAGACTAAGTCTAAATCTGCAGACTTATTTTCCGAGATCTGAAAAACAAGTCTTCAGACTTATCTTCATAGATCTGAAAAAGAAGACTTCAGACTTATCTTCAGAGATTTGAAAAACAAGTCTTCAGACTTATCTTCGTATATCTAAAAAAGAAGACTTTAGACTTATCTTCAGAGAATTGAAAAACAAGTCTTCAAACTTATCTACAGATATCTGAAAAAAGAAGACTTCAAACTTATCTTTAGAGATCTGAAAAACAAGTATTCGGAGTTCAGGTGAGCTCAAGTGCATAAGTGCAAGTTTAAAGAGATATTCTTCAAAGTTATTTTAAGAGAAAACCCGACGAACGCTAAGTGTTAAATCTGAAGACGAAGTCTGAAGACCTTGAGTTTAGAG